GTTTCTTCTCAGCTTTGGAATTTTGCCACTGGAAACCCCGAGCCCTGGAGATGGATCCTATTTACAGAACTACACCAACTCCTCCTCTGTAATTGATGTGCCATCCACCGGAGCACCTTCAAAGAAGGTACCTTGCATTCTGGAGCTCAGCTGCTTTTCTGACAGCTTGCCATTGCAGTGCACTTTAAAGAAGAATCCATAATACAGAGGAAAAAACAAGTTTTACAGAGCCAAGTTTTCCCCGCAGGTGCCCAGGCTGTAGTTGCTAACCTAGGGAAGATCTTGTGTTGTGTCCACCTCCCATCACAGAGGGTTCTACAAACACTGAAGCTTCCCAACAACAGTAGATTCAAACTTTCAGTTTGCAGGGTGGAGTGTGAAGACTTGGCATTGTTTGTTTTATTTATTTAATGTATTTTCTGAAGCCTCAAGAGAGTTGAAGCTACTGATCTCTTGCAAGTAGTTCTTGAGTTGTAGTTTACAGACTAGAGTAATAAAAACCCTGCTGCTGGTCTGTGAAGGACTGAGAGAATGGTGCTGTTTCACTCAGCAAATCTTGGGTAGGGGAAACTGAAAAATGTCTGCTTTACTCAGGAAGAAACTGCTGTAGTTGCCATAGTGATAAATGAGAGGTGGAATGTTGGTGACAGTTGAAGAACTATTTGTTCCTTTCTAAAAACAAAAACCTGAGGATTTTTCCCTGTATTTTTAGTCACTCTACAAGTTGCAGGAGGGGTGTTGGTGTTTTATAGGGGGCACTATTTTGAAATAATGTTAAATCTCAGAAAACAGAACTTGAGTTGCCATGTTTGCTCTGGACAAATCTTGATGCTGTGCCATTCTGAAAGGGAAATCTGGGACCTGTGCTAAAACGGTCAGTTAGGAGTGTGCTTTGTTTGGCTGATCCAGTTCCCACCCTGTGCTTGCTCAGGACCATGTGGAAGCAGTGGCTTGTGGTGGGCTGTGCACATACAGGAAGGTAAATTTCCACGGGACTAAAAATGGAAATAAAGTTAGTAAGGTGCAGTTCCTGTGAGAGCTGAAGAGCTTTGGGAAATCAAGTTGATTTGTTGCTGTTTTGTTGCTTTGCTGAGTGTGACAGCAGCACTGAGGTGTGAATTTCACTGTGCCACCCTTAGGCCCTCTCCAGATAGAGCTGTGCCACTACCAAACACAAATGTTAAATACATTTTAATAAATAAAATTCTGGTTCATGCTTTGTCCAGAGCAAATAGTGATTGTGCCAGTTCCGCTTTGCTCTTCCAGTTCTGTGTCAGACAAGGTTTGGTGGAGCTGTGGCTGAACAAAGGCAGTTTCCTAGGAAACACTTACATAAGAGAACGAAGCATTAGGATGAATCCAAAGGCTTCCTGTCTGAGTGGGCAAGTTTCCTTGCTGGCCACCTAAACCATCCTCTGGTAACAAAATCTGGGAAAGGAACAGAAGGACAGAGCTTCAGGGCTTGGCTAGTGCACAGACTGACATTGCTTCTGCTGGTGTTGACCCACATGTCCCTTTCTGGGATCTGTTCCAAACAGCCATCACTGAAGTGAATGTTGGTGTCCCTGGAGTGGGCAGAAAGATAATTTTTTTAAACAAAATGTGAAAAGGAGGATCTGTTCTGGAAACAGGCTGAGGTGCTGTGCAGTTTATGAATGGCTTCTGAATGGGATTGTAATAGGATAATTAAAAAATATTTTTCTTTGTATTTTTTTTTTTTACAACTTTCTGCAGGAAAAAGCCTTTAAATATGATGTATTTTAATTCCCTTTTGTTCTTGCACAAGCAGTTAACATATATTTTCTTGCTATTAGATGAAGTTTCTATATCTTAATATGCATAAACTTGTAGACTTGGTGTTATTAACAGGTAGAAGGAGAAACACTTTTGATGGTTTCCCCTGGGCATGGGGAACCCTCTCCTTTATTAAAATAATTCTGTTTCTCCTTGTGCAGTGTTTGGTGGGTGGAGTGGGTTGGGTTTGGCGCAGCAGAGATGGAGACTCCTGAGTGACATAATAACAAACCTGTAGAAACTCTGTGTTGTGCAGACTGTCAGCAGGATCAGCCAGGCTGGAACAAAATCTGTCTTCTCCCAGAGTGGGAATAGCCGGGAAGTCACTCCAGTTCTTGTTGCACAAACACAGAGCTCTGGTCCACAGACAAGGTAAAGCAGTTGTAGTCCTGGAGCATTTTTGTTTAAAGCAAAGCTAAAAGCTGTTGCTATTAGAGGTGGAGCAGAGAAGCTTACCTTCCAAAGTGTCATTCTTAAATTTTTCTTTTCAGTACAACACCTCAGGTATTGAGCCCAACCATTGCTGCTCCACCCAACGCGCTGCCTCGACGAAGCTCTCGCCTGTTCACCAGTGATAGTTCCACAACCAAGGTACCAAACCTCCCAGTGCTGCCTTCCTCACCCACCCTGGCCCAGCTGTTCATTTCCACGTATTCATAGCACTTTTAGCAGCTTAAGAACAGATTCTGCAGCGAGCAGGACATGGCTGGGCGTGGTTGTTACACGTAATTTTACACTATTCACTCTCATGTTTAGATTTCTGGAATTAAAAGACTCCTTTATATGTAACTCTTGCTTTTCTTACTTGCAGGAAAATAGCAAAAAATTAAAAATGAAGTTTCCACCTAAGATTCCGAACAGAAAAACAAAAAGTAAAACAAATAAGGGAGGAATAACTCAACCAAACTTAAATGACAGTTTGGAAATTACCAAACTGGACTCTTCCATCATTTCAGAAGGGAAAATTTCCACTGTTGCACCACAAATCCAAGCTTTCACGCTACAGAAGGCAGCAGCAGGTCTGTCTGAGTACTGTTGGACTCTAGTAGAGTAAAACCTGATATATCTGGGTTTTAATGTTGCTTCAGTATTTGCTTCTTTCCCATTTCATTTAGCATGCAGCTCTCACCTTTGTATAGTGATAAAAACTGATTTAATTCAACATCTTGTTAACTTAGAAACGTGTGAAGAAATACTGAAGTAGTAATTGTCAGCAGATACATCTTGTAAGCTCTAGTCCTTATTAATAATTAAGGTATTTTTAAAGTATATAAGTATTATAAATTGTTATGCAATGTCTAGATTATGATAATAGAATAAGTGATATTATGATTAAGTGTTACATTGTTATAAAGTAACTTCAAAATAATTTATGCCAGTATTATCCTTGGAAACCGATTCAGAGGAGTTACTCATAACCAGTAATCTCTTAACATGGGCTTTATGTGGTCTGTTCTCCCTTGATGTTTCCCATTTGTTTAAAAACAAGTCTTTATTCAGATTGTCAGAAAATCCTAAGCAGAATGCTGAATTCCCCTCTTTTGGCTCAGTGATGTTTCCAGGCAGCAAGAGGATGTATCCATGGCTACCAGGCTTGTGGAAACTGCTCAGACCTAAAGAAATGTTTGAATAGCTGCTGGAAATGCAGAACTCCACTCACCCTGAGCCCCAGAGTTTAAGGACTCATTATTTTCTGGCTTCCCTTATAGAGGCTGATATTCAGAATATCATGCTCATGTTAATTAAGTGTATTATGTTAAGAGTATATAAACCTCATTTGGAAACTCCTGAGGGTTTTCATAGGCAAATTCAGGGGCAGTGCACAAGTGAGAGCTTTTGGGATTAGCACTTCCAAGTAAATAAGTCTCAGCTGTTTTTTGGGTTTTTTTCCCCACTTTTATTTATTGTGTTTTTCTCCTAGAAGGTTTGATGAGCCTTCTCCGGGACATGGGGAAAGGTTATTTAGCCTTGTGCTCATACAACTGCAAAGAAGCCATCAATATTTTGAGCCATTTGCCATCCCACCACTACAACACAGGCTGGGTGCTGTGCCAAATTGGGAGAGCTTACTTTGAGCTGGCAGAATACATGCAGGTAGGAACAGGGGCTGGGCCTTCCTCTTCTCACTTTGCTCTGGCAGTGTTACACAAAACCTGCAGATCTCCTGTAAAATACATGAGAACTTTGCAGTTGTTGTAAATGGATAAATACAAAAGTTACACCTGCAATGGATTTAGGTCTTGAATCTGCTTCATTAGAGCTTTCTCACTGAGCTTTCCTAATTTTTTTTCTTAATGTTATTACCTCTTGTATCCAAGTGTTGGGGTCTCCTCCTTGTGTGTCCTGTCTCTATCTCATGCTGTGCTGATGGAATTGTTTGCACTGCACTGTTTTAGAATAGATCACTCAACAATTCGAGCTCTAACCAAGAAACTTCTCTCCATTCTAGTTAATTCTAATCACATCAGTGACCCAGTTTCCCTTCCAGCCTCACAAATGAAGCATTGGCACAGCTGAGGTGATGCCAAACTGCTCCAGAATCAGAAGTGAGCAGTTCAGGGTAATCCCACAGTTGCCTCTCCTTGGCACTGTTGTCCTGACAGCTGATGTGCCAGTGTGCTAAGTTTTTAAAGCACTCCTGGGCAGAATGTGTGCAGGAGACATAGGAGAGGGAGGTTTTGAGCTGTGCACAGTGTTTCTAGAAGGAACGTGCTGGGTGCTTTCACAGATTATTTAGAAAGGTGAGGCTACAGATTTTAATCACAGAATTTGAGCGTGGTTTGGATTGAAAGAGACTTCAAAGCTCATCCATTCCCACCCTGCCATGGCAGGGACATCTTCCACTGGCCCAGGCTGCTCCAGGCCATGTCCAGCCTGGCCTTGGGCACTGCCAGGGACCCAGGGGCAGCCACAGCTGCTCTGGGCACCCAGGGCCTGCCCACCCTCCCAGGGAGCAATTCCTGCCCAATATCCCATCCAGCCCTGCCCTCTGGCAGTGTAAAACCATCACCCCATAGCCTGACACTCTGTTGGGATGGTTAACAGTCATAACTGGCCCATAAAAGTTTGTTGCACTCTTTCTGATTTCGTGGATGATGTTTTTGCCTCGCTCCAGCACAGCTAGAAACAGGAATGCAGCTGAGTCAGCAGGAGGGAGAGCTGGCTGCTTTCCTGCTGGCATAAGTATCCTGGGATACAGTCACTTCCTTCCCTTGAAAGGAAAGTTCAGGGCTGGCAGCTCTGTGTAGAACACTTAAAAAGCAAAGAGGATGCTCGGGCTGGACGTGAGGCCTTGGACCTTGACCTCTGTGCTCTGCCTTGGTGGGTGGAATTTTATTTTAAATTTCATTTCTGTTCTCAGGCTGAGCGAATATTTTCAGAAGTGAGGAGGATTGAAAACTACAGAGTAGAAGGCATGGAAATCTATTCAACCACACTCTGGCATCTGCAGAAAGATGTTGCCCTTTCAGTCCTTTCTAAGGATTTGACAGACATGGATAAAAACTCACCAGAGGTATAAAATACTGTGGGTTTGAATGAGAAGAGGGGAATTGTAGTAGTAAAATCAGTGATTCAGAACAAAGCTTTGAGCTCTAATCCAGTGTACTCTCCACTGGGAATATACCTGAACATGGCAGAACTGGAGAGGGAGCTGAGAGGGTTGTCTGTTGAACTGCTGATGCCTGAAACAGCTCCTTTAAATTTGAATATCATCTTATGTGGAACAGGTTAAAACCTTTTATCTGTTAATGGTTATTTAAATTTGGCTTGGCACCATTCATCAGGAAGATCATGGGTTAGTCAGTCACTCTTGCTGCTGCCAGTGTGCAGAGATAAGGAATATCTTTTTCCTGTACCTTTTAATTGCTATAGATAATTCACTGGCACTTAAAATATTTGTTCTAGAGTTATTTGCAGACATGATCTTGCGCATTTTTATACCAAAGTCCAGTAAACTGCAGGGTGTGTGGTAATGTAGTCATGATGTGCCAAAACCTGGAAATCTTTCTATGAGTACCACAGTAAAAATAAAATACGCGAGTTGATAAATGTGCTTTTAAGAATTAAGCAAATTGCAGAGGATATTGAAAGTCTTTTTGGTGGAGGAGGAAAACCAATTCATGTTGTCCTGTTAGTTTGTCTAAGAGTGGAAAACAAACTCAGTGAGCAGTTGGTGGCTGTAGTAAAATTAGTCAGGATAGAGGGAAATGCAGATTCTAATCCAAGGAGTGGAAAATAGTTATGTGCTTTGGCAGTGATGCAAAAAATTTGGGGAAGTGAGGGACCCTGGGCTGTGGTATTGACAGGGAAAGAGGAGGTTGTTGCTAAAATTCTTCCTCTGCAGATTTCCAGGTTTGTCAGTTGGAGGGAGCTGAAGAAATAAAGTACTGTCTCCCCCGTTGTTATTCTTAAATATCAAAGGTGTTTTATTTCTGCCCTTTTCAACAGCTTCAAAAGCTTTAGTCATTAGTCATCAAAGGATCTAATTGGCACAGACTTGAGTGCCCGTGGATTCTCCATTTCTGTAATTCAGCTTGCTTATTTATTCATTTATTTATTTTAGAAGGTGTGTTTAGCCCTGCTTGCCTCACAAGAATGAGCCTGAACTGTTGATTTGTTCCTATTTTTACTTTTTAATGTAGGAGTATGTTATTTATAATAATTTAAAGCAGTCTAGATAAGTGTGTTAAGCTCAAATTTAGTCACTCAGAGCAGTAAAAAGGGTTCTGCTCCTGCCCTGCTGTTGTTCCAGGCCTGGTGTGCTGCAGGAAACTGCTTCAGCTTGCAGAGGGAGCACGACATTGCCATCAAGTTCTTCCAGAGGGCCATCCAGGTGGATCCAAACTACGCCTATGCCTACACCCTGCTGGGCCACGAGTTTGTGTTGACAGAAGAGCTGGACAAGGCGTTGGCCTGTTTCAGGAATGCCATCAGAGTCAACCCCCGGCACTACAACGCCTGGTAGGTCTGGCTCTACCCCCTGCTGCTCCCTGGGCTGCAGAGTTCCTTCTGGAGGAGCTTCTCCTGGCTGCTGCCACTGCTGTAATTCCGTGGAGTCTGTCTGGTTTGGGTTGGAAGGGACCTTGCAGCTCGTCCAGTCCTACCCCCTGCCATGGCAGGGACACTGACAGGGATGGGGCAGCCGCCATCCTGGAAGAGAGCACAGCCATTCCTGCAGAAGTGGGGGGCTACTTTCACAAGGAAGGCAAAAAATTGGCTTTTTTTTTTGGTTTTCACAGATTGTTTAGGCTGTATTTATTTGTCCTGTTGGGTGGCATTCTTTGTGCATTATGTGTCCTCGCTTGCAGTTGGAGAGATGATGTCTCAGCCTCTTCATACTTTAGGACACACTTAGTTTCTTACAGCTTTTTAATATATAGAGCAGTAAAAGTGAGATCTGTGAGTGTGGTAGTGTTGATAACTTTTGTGTCCTTTTATTTAGCAGTTCTTTAGCCAGTCTTGCTGTGTACCACACATCAGTTCTTCAGCCACCCAATGGATATCAAAAAGAAAGAAAATTTTAGACATCTTTTTCCCCCAGGAAATCCCTTCCTACCCTAGATGGGGTTGGCAAGGCTCCAAACCATTCCTGCCATGTCGTGTTCACTGACAGAAGCTAATCTGGTTAAAATCCAGTGCTGCTTACCAGCGTTGTTTCTCTGCTGCAGGTACGGGTTGGGAATGATTTATTACAAACAGGAGAAGTTCAGTCTGGCAGAAATGCATTTCCAGAAAGCACTTGATATCAACCCTCAGAGCTCAGTCCTGCTGTGTCACATTGGAGTAGTAAGTACAGGGCACTTCACTTGGGTGGGGAGAAGGGGTTGGGGTGAAGAGCAGGTGAGGAGGATTTTTCTTCCTCTGAGGAGGGTTGATCAGACTTGGTCTAGAACTGGGCCAATACTTTTCTCAAGGAGCAGATCATAAGTAAACATGGTCAGAAGGGTTTGTCCTTGCCCAGCAGATGAGCTGTTATTTTTCCCTTTTTGGAATTGTTCTCTCTTTGTGTGCCAGGTCCAACATGCACTGAAAAAATCTGAGAAGGCTTTGGACACCTTGAACAAAGCGATCAACATTGACCCCAAGAACCCACTATGCAAATTCCACAGAGCCTCGGTGTTATTTGCAAACGAGAAGTACAAGGTCAGTCTTGGTGCTCGTGGCAGCCTTGACATTCCTGTAGCTGGGAATGGGGTGCCTTGGGAGCTGAATGTTCCCAGGTCACCCTGGGGAGCGCCAGGGCTTGCAGGAAGAGCCTGGGACATGGGAAGCATTTGCTTTGGCAAGTGCCTCCCTCACCAGGGTGGCATTAAGTGTTTTGATTGGAATAAAATCTGGGGCTGTCAGGTGTTGCTTTTTAAGTTATTATTTTAGTCTGACCCACTGTCATGAATTTATACTAAATTGCTAAAAGAACTCAGCCAACTGCTCCATATCCAATTACAGCAATAAGAACCAGCTGTTTCCAAGGTTGTGTTGTGGAGTGAAAAGTCAGAAGTGAAGCAGTTTTGGGCTGATCCCCTGCTGACCTGAACCCTGTTTAGCATAAGAGAAGATCTTCCCACAGTGTTTATCCAGCAGCTTTTCCTCTGGCCAGTATTTTTTGGCTCCAGAATACAAGCCAAGTCTGTTTTGAAACTTGTCTCAGAAACGTGTGTGCACACTGAAAGGGAAAACTTAAAACTTTTTTTATTTCTAACTGCAGACTAAATATTTTTCATTTGAATTTCTTAATGATACCAGGTGACTTGTCACAACAGAGTAAACAGCTCCAGCATCAAGAACTAGCTTAAAAGTAAAATAGAAGTTCCACTAAAAGTGTTTGGTTTCAAATGCCTAATGTAAACACTCTTTCCAACCTTTCAGTCGGCTTTACAAGAACTTGAAGAACTGAAACAGATTGTTCCCAAAGAGTCTCTTGTTTACTTTTTAATAGGAAAGGTAGGTAAAACTTCACTGTGATTAAGTTCTTTGGTCTCCTTTGCTGCTTAATGACAAAATTTGATACCTGTCACTAAGATGCTTCCACTTCAAGCAGTATTCTAAAAATTCCCAAAGCTTTAAGTAAGGCTTAGTGCTCACAGCTGTATTATGTGCCAGCTTTTAAATGCAAAGGACAGTTAAAGAGAGCTGGAGATGTTAGTCCCTCCCTCAGTGAGCAGAGCTGCTTATTTGCGCATGTAGCTATTAAAATATTGAATCATTCTTATGTATTATGTCAGAAGTACTGAGTAAGAATCAGCTACATTGCAACTTTCTTGTGTGAAATGCCAGAGGAGTGATCTAGTGACAGAAATCCTCCTTCCCACCACCACCTCTGCTGATAAGCTTTGAATAACTTTTCTACAACTTTCTGCTGGGGAGTGTCTGGTCACTTGGAAACACCAAGACAAACTTCCTTCTAACACAGAGCTGGAGAACTCTCTATCAGCAAGATTTCTTTATTTTGTTTAAACTGGAGAGAGGTAAAAGGATTTGTGTTGAAATGTGTTCACTGGTGTTTGTTCAGGAGTAGTGGGACCACTAAACTGACAGGAGTGGCCATGTCTAGACAAACTGAAATATTTTCACTGTTTAAATGCTCAACACCGATAAATAACTTCCTCATCTGCTCTTATTGATAAAGAATCTCTTAGCTGCTAGTTTATTTCTTTTTATTTTTAAATAGAAATATTTGCTCTTTGTACACATACTTGTTTTTTCCCTTGGGGCTCACATAATGAGTTTTCCATATCCGTCCTCTGCTGCTTTCCATGAAACATCACTGAACTGTGGAGCATTCATTGCCCAAACCTTCAAGGAGCGGCTTCATGTAAATGTAGCCTCTTCTGCATTTTGATGTTCAGGTTTATAAAAAGCTGGGTCAGACGCATCTGGCCCTAATGAATTTCTCCTGGGCAATGGACCTGGACCCCAAAGGAGCCAACAACCAGATCAAGGAGGCCATAGACAAGCGCTACCTGCCCGATGACGAGGAGCCCATCACCCGCGAGGAGCAGATCAGCGAGTGCTACCCCTACGAGTCAGGTGTGTGCTGCAGCCCCCGGGCCAGCCAGCAGCTCTGCCCTCAGCGTGGGGAGGGACCAGCTTGACAAGGGAGACGTTTCTGCCCTGTGCTGCAGGAGCTCTGGAGGCTCTTCACTCAGAATCCATTCGTTCTCCCTACAGAAAGCATGGCATGAAGGGTTGTGAAATTCCTTTAGATGCAGTAGGACAGGGATGGTGGTAACTAAATTTATACAAATCCTGAGTGGCTTTAAGAGTATCCCAGGAGAGCAAGACACCCCCAGGGCTGCAAGTATTCCATCATAAAGCATCAAGTAATTTCAGAGTAAATGAATGGCAACTGAAGTTGTCTGTAGGTGCTTTTTCATGAGTTAAACTGGATGTAGCTTCAAAATACTTGGTGTGCTGAATATAAAAGGTGGCTTTTGATGAAGGCCATGGAAGCAGTTTGATTTGGATCAAGAGAAAATAAAACACTGTGGGGAGTAATTCACAGAAAGGAACAGCCCAGGTTTTTCTTCTCTTGGCTTCTGATTATGAACTTAAATTCCATAAAGCATGGACAGTCATAAATACTGACCTAGCTGCAGGCTGAAATGGAAATAGAAAGTAAATGCTAATAAGCAATTTAATTCTCTTCCCACAAATAAGGAACTATAGCAGGATTTGGATTCTTACTAATAGACAAATGGCTGTGTCCTGCAGTTCCAGATTCTCACCTGAAAAATGGGGAAAGGTGACAACTGTATATATATCACATTGGTTTTTATTGGTCCTGTGTGATTTTTAATATGGGAACTTTACCCTGCACTGCACTTCTGGAAGTATCCAGTTTTTCTCTCCCTGCTGTTGTAATTGGGATGATTTCAAGCCCCGGCTCATTGGGCTGAGTCTGTTCTGACCAGGAGATGGAGACAGAGACTGGAACTGCTGAGCAGTACAGGAAAAAGCCCCAAAGACCAACCAAACAAGAAAAAAAAATTAAAAAGGAAAAAACCCAACAGCTTGGTCTGTCCAATAAGCATAAACTAAATAAGTGTTGGGCTGTGTCACAGTTCAGCTTCCCTGGCTGTGCAGAGAAAGGGTGGAAGAGTTGCTCAGCTGAATGACCCTCTCGGGGTGCACGGGACAAATTACGGTAATTTAAGGTAATTTGGGGGTGAAGCAGAGTTTTTTGTGAATGCTTTGGCTGCCCTGCCCGGGCTGGGCTGGGTGGCAGGGGGAGCTCTGCAGTGGGACAGCCCCTGACCCCATGTCTCTTTGTCCCCACAGTGGGCACAGACGAGTCCCAGGAGAGCAGCATGACGGATGCGGATGACACGCAGCTCCACGCCGTGGAAAGCGATGAATTTTAACCTCCAAGAGCCAGTGTCTGAGCTTGAGTGTGTGTGACTGGTACTGTCGTGTCCTCCCCTTCCTTGGCATCCTGGGTTCTACATCTCTGAGCCAGCACTGTTGTTGTTCTCCAGTGACACCATGAGTGCACCTCAGACCTGAGCTTAGCAGAGTTCATGGCAGTGCAATAGCCAGCTGCTGTTGAGTCTGACTAGTTGGCTCTTACACACTTATGGCAGTGACTGAGGAGAAAATGCTGGTTTTCAACTCCCCCTTGCTGGAAAAAAATATCATGGAAGACAGACTTGTGGTTCGCTGTATGGAAGCCAGTAGATGTGGGGATAATACTAATGATGAGGTGTCTTGTTCTTTTTCCAGAAACGTGTCTTAGTTTGGGTCTTTCTTGGTAAGCAGAGTGCTGAACCTCATTTCCAAGTTCTCCAAGGACAGTGTTGACAAACAGGCTGTTCAAGACTTTTGCATATTGTAGTGTAACTTAAATGCCAGGGAGTGTCAATGACCTTAAAGCTGCAGTGTCTCCAGTGAGCAACCAGGATTGGGCGTGTGTCAGGCCACGTGAAACAGCCCTGTCCCTGCCCAGAGTGCAACTGCAGGAGACTCACATTGCAGGATCAGAGCTTTCATCAAATGCTTTCATGTTCTAACCATGAGTTAATTTATTCACCCGGTTTTGGAAAGGTCAGCATTTACTTTGTATTTCTGTCAGCACCACCTTGCTTCATTTTTCATGCACCCCTTGACTTGTTCTTCCCCTTTGAAGAATAAAAGTTAATAAAGGGAAAAATCAAGAGAGAAATGTAGATACCAGTGTAATGTGAAACATCAAACCCTTAATCCTGTGAGAGTGGGAAGACTGGAAGCCTTAATGCAATCAGAGCCTTGGTCAAATGCATCAAATAATTGTCTCAGATCAGTATCTCCATAGGTCTGCTATCACTTTGAAAACTATTTTGTAAAGTGTGGTCCAAGCAAGATGCAAAAATGTGCAATTGTTTGTCTTTTTCCTTATTTTTTAAAGCTGTTCTTTCAGTTTCCCATTCTAGGAACACTTTCCTTTCCTCCAGGGTCTGTTTCTGAGAGGCGAAAGCTGTGCCACATGAGTGAGTCCAAACTGCTCTCTGTAGTATTCTGCAGCAGCAATTGGTGCCCTTTGTGCAGTGATGATAAAGAAAGTGTATGATACAAGCAGTTTTAAAGAGCAATTTATGCCTAATAAATTGGGAATGATATGAATTTCACAGCACCGTATTTGTTGTGATCAGTCTTAATGTTTTTTTTCTTTTTTTAAATCTACTGGTTTTTAGGTGTCTCTTAGTTTCCTTTACACTTCAATTTCTTTTGAGTTCTGTCCTTGTCCACTTGGCACCTCTTCTGTCCCAGCTTCTCTCTGGTCAAGAGCCACATGGACACCTTTATCCTTTGAAAAATCATCCCCGAGTTCTGAGGAAAAGTAGAATTCCATGGTTCGGTGGGTTTTTTTGAAGTAGGAGGATGGGTGGTGAAGAATAGGCTTCAATTCCCCTCCTAGGGTGGAAAAACCCCTCTAAAATCTGAGGCATTAAAAGAGGTTAAACGTGCCCTGCGCTTTGGATCAGCTGGGTCTGGAGGGCTGATGGGTTGTTGATGGTGGAGCGGGGATCTCACCGGGGATCTCACCGGGGATCTCCCGGGCTCCGGGGCTGGGGCAGCCCCGGGTGCTGCCCCTCCTGAGCCTTCGTGGGGCCCGGAGCCTTCCCTGGAGCCCGGAGCCTTCCCTGGGGCCCGGAGCCTTCCTGGGGCCGGGCTCGGCTCTGCGCCCCGGCCTCTCCTGCTCTGCTGCTCCAGGGCCCCACATCCCTCACCAGAGGAGTCCGACAGCACCTCCAGCTAGGGTCTGCGGGCAGCACTTGTGGAATAATTACCCTGTTAATTGGCTTCCTTTCTCTTCCCAGTATATTTTCTAAACAAAAAGCAGGAGGAAGCAGGTGCTATTTACTTTTCCATAATGAATGTTGTTCATGTGGGGACCAGAGACCCAGGAATTGTGGGGCCCTTTTTCCTTTTTATTTCTTCCCTGAAAACTGCTTACTGCAGTTCAACCCCTTGGAAAAAGCTCTTAATTGAGCTGGGATGTTCAAAGGATGTTTTGTGCTATTTGGAAGATCTAATACGTAAAAACATTCCTGGCTTTGTATGTTCATCCTACCTTAAAGGCATTTTCTTTTTTTCCCAAGAATCCAGGGTTGCATTTAGCCCTCGCTGCTTTTACATTCTAAGGAAAGACACAAAATTAGTATTGAAGGACTAAAATTTGGCTCTTTGAGGAGGTACAGAGAGGAAGAGGCTGAGCATGGAGGCACTGGCAGGCAGGTGAGCAAGTGTTCACTGAAGAGAATTAATGAACTGTCACTTTCTTACAACAAAACTGGAGGAATGCAAAGCGTGGGTGTGGTGTTACTATTTGCATTGAAACAATGTAATTTGTCCTTGATTTTTTTTTTTTTTTTTTTTTTTTTTTTTTTTTTTTTTTTTTTTTTTTTTTTTTTTTTTTTTTTTNAAAAAATTCTTTTCTGTTAATATATTTGCAATTCATGAAAGGATGTGGAAAATCCAAATAAATTACTTTTAAAAGCAGGCTTAGCCCCAGGTGCTTTGGGTCAGGGGTGGGATTTGTCCTTCAGAAGCTGGGCGAGCCACAGAGGTTGGGAAAGGTTTAAGGGCACCTTGGGGTGCACAGGGCTCTTTTCTGTCCTGTGCTGAGCATCCACGTGTCACCTGTAAATCTCCCACAGCCTTCCACGTGGGCTGCAGGGTCCTGGCTGGAATTTTGGGTGAGGTGGGAGGTGTGATGTGGGTGTGAAATGGGTGTAGGGACCTGGAGCTGCTGCAGCGAGTCCAGAGGAGCCCCGGGGCTGCTCCGGGGCTGGAGCCCCTCTGGAGCCAGGCTGGGAGAGCTGGGGGGGCTCCCCTGGAGAGGAGAAGCTCCAGGGAGAGCTCAGAGCCCCTGCAGGGCCTGAAGGGGCTCCAGGAGAGCTGGAGAGGGGCTGGGGACAAGGATGGAGGGACAGGAGCCAGGGAATGGCTCCTGCCATGTGTCCATCTGCTGCCCGAGGGCAGGGATGAACGGGATACTGGGGAGAAATCCTTCCTGGTGAGGCCCTGGCACAGGCTGCCCAGAGAAGTTGCTGCTCATCCTCACTTTCCATCCTGCAGCAAGAGATGCAAAAAGCTCTTGGGTATGGAGCAGGTTAGTGTTATTTTCTTTTTTTCCTGCCTTCTGTAGCAAGTCCCCACCCTGTGGCTGCAGCTGTTGTTGCTCAGCAGAGAAATTAATTATCACAGTCTCTTACAGTTCCAGACCTGGAGGAAAAGCAGAAATTCCTCCTGCTGCATGTAGGCATCTTGGATTGAACCTTTTATTGCTCATTTTGCCCAACCTAATCCAGTAATTTCTGAGAGCTGAGTTTGGTGTACAGTGCTCAGTACAAGCAGCACTGAGATGAACCTGTTCCAGCTGCTCCCCCGTTTTCTCCCATGTCCTGGTGGTCCTGGCCATTTGTTCCTGTCTGGGGTCACTGAGTGCCCACCCCACAACAAGAGCCGAGCTGTTCTGTGCCCCACTGCAGCCTCTGGTGTGGGCTGGGGCTGGCTGATGCAGCTGGGCTCTGTGTGGTGGCACCAGGAGCTGTTTAGGAGCACCTACATCTCACTGAGGTTTGCACTCGTTCTCTTGGTCACTAACTGTTGCTGCAACATCTTATTTTCTGTCCCTCTGCCCAAGTCTGTGACTTTGTTTGAGTGAGAGCTGATCCACGAGCACAAACTGCTTTTTATTTCTAGTGGAGCAGAATTGTTTTTTTCTAAGGCAGGGATCCCAGTGCTTTTAGACTTTGTCACCTGAGAATAAGGTCATAGTCTGGATTTTCCTGGATAACCAGGAAAAACAACCAGGTTGTTTCATGTTCCCTGAGGAAGGGAGAGCAAGGACAGTGACTGCAGCTGCTCTGTGTGGATCAGGATCCAAACACACTTTGAGAGTGTGTTTGGAGCATCTCAAACTTCTTTCCAGTCCTGAAAGGGGCTTAGGAAAAAAGAGGGAGAGTAACCTTGTACACAGGTAGATAGAACAAGAAGGGGAACCACTTCAACCTGGGAGAGAATTAGATTAGATATTAGGAGGAAATTCTTTACTCAGAGTTTGGCAAGGCCCTGGCACAGGTGCCCAGAGCAGCCCCTGGATCCCTGGAATGTCCCAGGCCAGGCTGGATGGGTTTGGAGCAGCCTGGGCCAGTGGAAGGTGTCCCTGCCATGGCAGGGTGGCGCTGGATGGGCTCCGAGGTCCCTTCCCAGCCAAACCATTCCAGGATTCCATGATCCTCTCCCAGCCCTGCTGTCCCAAGAGTGAGCAGTGAAGGAGCTCACCTGCATTTTGGCCTGTGGGACATGGAGTCAAGTCTTTTATTGGAGTTATACCTGGCCCGTGACTGGATAAAAACTAGAAGACGAATTGAAAAGGCAAGAGTGGCAGCAGCTGGAGGGCTGTGCCCACAGCAGCGCTCAGGAGCAGCCATTGGGGAGTTTTCTGTGTCTAGAGGAGATGGCAGTGCGACGGCCCCGGGGTCACCGGGGACCGGGGGGCGTCCCGTGCCTCGGGGACAGGGCGAGCGGTGCCACGGCCCCGCTGCCCCGTGGGACAGGGACACGGGCCCGGTGCCACCCGCGGCCAGGGCCCGGCGGGACCGCAGCCCTCGCCACCCGTGCCGGGGCTCGCCGTCCCGGCGGGGCCTCCCGGGCCCCCGGCCGGTCCCTCCCCGCTGCGGGACCCGCGCCCCCCGGCTCCCGCCCCGGTGCCACCCGCGGGACACCGGCTCCCCGTGTCCCCCCGCCCGGTGCTCCCGCGGCCTGGCCGGACCCGCGGCCGCCCCGGGCGGGGTGGCGCGCCCGGGTCCGCCCGTGGGGGCCGGGCCCGGGGCCGGTGGTCCGGGGGGCGCGGGCGGGGGGGGCGCGGGGCAGGGGCCGAGCGGCGGCACCGCATCAATCACCGCCCGCCCCGCCCCCCGCGCTGATTGACGCGGCCGCAGCCAATGGGGCGCGCCCATGCCCCGCGCGCAGCCAATGGGCGCGGGGGAGGGCGGAAGGTGCCCGCTTGAAGGCGGCGGAGCGGCGCAGGTAGGAGCGGGCGGGGGGCGCGCGGCGGCCGCGGGCCGGGGGCGCGCACGGCCCGGGGGTCGCGGCCCCGGCCCCGCCCCGGCCCCGCCCCGGCCCCGCCGTCCCGCGACTTGGCTGCGGGGGCCGGGCCGCGGCGGGGCCGGGAGGGGCGGGCGGCTGCTCCCGCCCGGGAGCCGGGGGTCGCGGGCAGGGTCGCGGCGGGCCCGGGGCGCCGGGAGCGCTCCGCCCCGCCGCGCTGCCCCGCGGGACCGGGCCCGGTCGGCTCCGAGCGGAGCGGGGTCCCCCCGCCCGCCCCGCGCCTCCATTTTAGCCCGGGGAAGCGAGGCCGGGCCCGGGGGGCTTCTGGAAGGATCGGGGGTGGCGGCGGCCCCGGGCCCGCGCCCCGAGCGCTGCCGGGCCCGGCCCCGAGCCCGCGGCGGGATGGAGCTGACGGCGGGAGGGGGCGGCGGGCCCCTTGTGACAGCCCTCTCTGTCCCCAGCTCCCGCACTTCCCCACCTCCTCGAGTAAATCGGTAAGAAACTTGCATCCCGCCGGCGGCGGCTGGAAGGATCCGGAGGCCGTCCCGGGCTGCCCACCTGGAGCGCAGGTGTGAGCGAGGATGGGCCTGGCCAGGATGCCCAGCAAGGTACGTCCCGCCTGCCCCGCTCCCCGGCTGCCCGGGGCTCCGCTCCCGGCGCCGGCCCGCTCGGTGTGCCCAGCTGCCCTGCCGGGTGCTGCCTGGGCTCCTGACCCTGCAGGGTGACGCTGGAGCCCTGCACGTAGTTTCTTGGCTGATGCACAACTTTAAAATGGAGGTTTGGTATGATGGCTGGAAGTGTGGATTCATCCTGTGCGTGCACAGGGTGCTTCTCTCTCCAAAGCCATTCCAGTGCCTGTAGTGAAGAGATGTGGAGGCTCCTCTCAGGAGCATGTGTGTGTATTTTCAGGTGTTACCTGTCCTTGTGTGCCGCAGCATCGAGACATCAAGGCATGACTTGCCCAGAAAAAGAAAGATCTCCTGCTTTTTTTTTCCCTCTCTTTATTGTTTTCATCCTTAAACCCCAGGTTTACACTCTAAGGTCCTTTATACTTCCTGATTTGATCTGGTTTATGTATGTATTTATAGTATCAAAAGAGTTTTGTGTACACCTGTCAGAGGGGCTTTGTCCTGTGGAAACCAAAGGTCTAAAGCTGGAGTTTCCTGCTCACATTTCTGTTTCTCTGGTTTCCCGGTGTGTGAAGCAGCCGTGGTGCTCCTGGGTCCAGAGTGGAGCCTGGCGAGGCTTTGCTGGTGCTTCTTCAGAAAATTGGCCTCTCGCCTTGCCGATGTTATTGCACATTACAAATGTGTCCTAAACACTCAGGTACAGGAATCGAGCTCTGTGCAGCTGAATAAAACCTGAAGAGAAGTGCTAAAAGGAAGGATATTTCCCTCTTTTCATAAATCTACAAGTCAAAGCAGCCTTACTTTAGGCCAATTATTGAGGCTGAATTTAGACAAATTCTCTTGTAATGGGAAAACCAAAAATCTTATTTCAATGCGGTCACACTGACCTTACCCAAATCTGCTGTGGTATCTGATCTTCAGTTGGCCAACACAGCAGCAAAGCTCTTGCTCTTTGTACACGGAATAACACTGAGTTGTTTTATGGGCTTTAAAAGTGGAATTAAATCTCCCTGTTGTGGGTTTTGGCAGGAAGGGCCCCGGGAGGGTGCCCTGGATCCTCTGTGCCTCCCGTGAGCTGGCAGGAGCTGGGAGAAGGAGCAGTGCCTGCGTGTGCTGCTGGGGCACTCGGCGTGTCTGGCCACCACATCCCTCGGCAGCTCTGCTGCTGAGGGGTGTTTGCTTCTGGAGGGCAGATCTTGCTGGACCTTGATTTTTGGAGTGTGTTGAGCGTGTCACAAGTTGAATTGCTTTACAGCTCTGCTAGGATCTGTCTGAGGGCCTTTCTCACTGTGACCCCCACTTGTGCTCAAGCTCCTGGCACCTGGCATTGCCACAGTCTGCAGTGTTTTACTGTCACAGTTTGCAGTGTTCTATTGCCACAGTTTGCAGTGTTTTACTGTCACAGGAGAGACCAGCTCCGTTCCAGCCCTTGAGTTCTGTGAAGCCTCCTCAGAGGGGCAGGAGGTCTGTGGGAGCAGAGGAGCAGGAAGCCCTGCCTGCTCCTTCCCAGGGGATGTGCTGCTCCAGCTCTGCCTGTGCCCTGCTCACACAACGGGGACTCGCTGCCTTCTCCGCCCCATTGCCATTCCCCTGTGGTTGCCTGGGCTCCGATTCTCCCATGCTGGACTTGTGATAGGAAGTATTGGTATTAAGAGCAGGTAGAGTCTTGTCGTTGTGTTTTTTAGTGGCCATCCATTTTTCCCACATTCAGGATGTTTCCCAAACAGAAATAGCATGGGTTTAGGCTCAAAAGTCATAAATAATAACACTTAAGAGTTATTTTATGTACTGATATGCATATACTTACTGTATAGAGACTATTAAATTTCTGAGGCAGGTCCAATCAGAGGAAGTGAGGAGGATTAATAGGTGGAAAGATGAGGTAACAATTAGGTGTGCATAGCTGGGTACACAGCCCTCACCAGATATTGTGTTTTGGGTGTTCTGGATGCTTGGCAGAACAGGACAGTTCGAAGGATGTAAAAATGGGGCTTCACTGGGGAGAGCTGCTCTTGTTCATGGGGGCATCTCCAGATCAGGAACATCCTGTGTGAGGGACAGGTAGGTGGCTGGCCCTGGAGTGGCCAGGTGACCAGTTGTAGCACAGTTTTGAGTGGGAAACAGACTGGTAGGACTATAGGAGGTACATGTGTAATTTTACACTGCACAGCAATTTCTGCTACTCATCTCCAGGTGAGGCTGGATGATGGAAGCTGCAGCTGTGTCTGTGCTGCAGGAAGATCCAGACCTGTACTGGAATGTCAAGCTGGAATCTGGGCTCTTGGTCTGTGCCTCAGCAGAAAGTCCTGCACTGCACAGTGAACAAAAGATCAGAAGCTTTATTGCACAGGAATTTCTTTTAACTTCCTCCACAACAGATTGTCCTCACTCTTCTGTTCCAGTATAAAACCACATTTGTTGCTACTTCTGCTTTTTAGCTGAGCCCTAATTCAAGGTAGATTAAAAAAACCAATAACACCAGAGGTTTGCACGCCATCGTAGGGTCCTGTGTCCCTAAAATTCTCTCTAAGTGAGGCGAGGAGATCAGGACAGAGTGTGCAGCTGCTGAGTTCCTCATGCTGTTGTCTTTCAGAAAAGGTATTTTTGTTACCCTTAAGAATAGCTAGTGTTCACTGTGTGACCCCGCTGGGTGCTGGACGTGGGGTGCTGATAACACACTGCCCTGCTGTCCTCCTTGCCACTGTTCCATCACTGACTTAAACCCACGTTCAAGGTCTCAACACCCATTTTCTTAAGGTACTGCATGAGAGTGCTGAGCCTGGGGAGTGGCCAGCACTGAGGGGACGGCTGGGACTGCAAGGGACAGCCCAGGAGTGGAGCTGGTTGTCTGCAGTTCCCTGCTAGGGCATAAAAACCCTGCATTGGTCTCACTGCTGTCCTTAGGTGAATATTTTTCTTGGAAAAACACTTGGGTATAAGCTGCGTTTTGAACATTGTTGGTCAGCAGAGACCTCTGGGGTGGCTCTGGCTGCCCTTAGAGAAATGATGAAATGTGAATTTCCCGGCCCAGAAAACCCAGCTGTAATGAGAGTGCCATGGTGTGGTTTGTTGAGCAATATACTGGATTTTAAAGAGTAACAGTAGTGTATTGACTCTGTATGTCCAAATGGTTTTTAGAGGAGGGATGCATTACTGAGGCACGTGGTGGGATTCCTGTGCAGGGCCAGGAGTGGACTCTGATCCCTCCCAGCTCTGGGTATTTTGCAGTTGCTTTTGTGGTATTGAACCGCCATGTGTGGTGCTGGGACTTGGATCACGAGGAGGAAATAATAAACTTGTGTGTGCTGCATAATCCAGTTCTGGAAAGAGGATTCCTCCTTACCTAGCTCTGCAGTCGAGCAGGACAGGTTTTGTTTTCGCTCAGCACAGCTCCCCGGGGCCGGTTCTCTCGGTGAGCACAGCTGGCACTGCTGTAGCTCCTTCCCTTTGCAGGCAAACCATGGTATAAAGCACTTTTTTCTTGCCAGAGCTGCGTTCCTGCTGTGGAGGCAGCAGAGCAGGGAAGAGCCTTCGCTGCAGGAATTTCCAGCGGGTTTGTGGCACGCCGGGCGTGCCGGGCTCTGTGCTGGGCACAGTCAGCGTCACCCGCCTGCAAGCGGCCGGGCTGAAGGTCAGAGAGGTGAAGCGGTTTCTGCGCTCCCCATGGAATGCTTCGGTGCCGCCGGCGTGGCCCGAGTGGCGGAGCTGGCCAGGAGGGGCCGGGGCAGGAGCCCCGCTGCCGGGCTGCCGGCCCTGCGTGTCCCCGGAGCCCGCAGCCCGGGCCGCGGGAGCCGGCGCGGAGCCCGGCTGGGGCTGCGGGCAGCTTTCCAGCTGGGACCGCGCAGCGAGCTCCGGGGCTGCGGGTGGGAGAGCGTGACGTGCAGTATGGCGGGGAAACGCTTAAACCGCGAGAGTTGGGGGTTTTCTTGTGTTTCCCGGGAGCGAGCTTGCGGTGGCAGAGCGGGCAGTGCCGCACATTTTGGGCAGGAATCGGTTAAAGCAGCGCCGCTCCCGCAGCGCCGCGTCCTGCGCGTCCCGGCCGCGGGGGCGGGCGGACTACAACTCCCGGCGTGCCCCGCGCGCCGCGCCGCCGCGGGCTCCCCCTGGCGGCGTCCGGCAGCGGCGGGGCCGCGGCGGGCGGACAAAAGGCGGAGGGCCCGCCCCTCCCTCCCCTTCCCCGGCGGCGGTGCCGGTGCCCGCCCTCCCTCTCCCCTCCCTTTCCCCTCCCTCCCCTCCCGTTCCCCTCCCCTCCCGCACTGCAGCTCCTCCGCGCGGCCGCGGCGGGCGCTCGGCGGGGCCCCCCGGCTGCGGGAGGGCGCGGGTTGCGCTGCGCGGCGCGGCCGCCGGGGGCGCTGCGGCGGCGCCCCCCGCCCCCCCGCCTCCTCGCCGTCCTCCTCCTCCTTCCCCCCGGTGCATTCTCCGGCTGACGGGAGGGGGAGGGCAGGGAAGGAGCCCGGCCGCCATTTTCGAGCCGCGCCGCCGCCGCGCTCGCCCGGAGCAGGGGGGGACCGGGCGCGCCGACGAGAAGCGCCGCAGCGCCCGCTCCGCCCCAGCGCTCCGACCCGGGGGCGGGGGGGCCCCGCTCCCCCCCTCCCCCCCCACCCCCAGCGCTGCGGCCGCCGAGGGACACGGGCGAGCCCATCCCCCGTTCCGCCGGGGCGGGCGGGGGGGGCGCCGGGGGTGGCGGCGCCGCGGCTGCCGCCGCTCGTCCCGGGGGGGCCCGCCCGGTTTGTTTGCGAACTGCGCCCGTTTCGCCGCGGCCGAGCCCGCCCGGACCGCGCTCGCCGCTCGTCACGTGGTAGGTGCCGCTCGCCCCGCGCCCGCCGCCCCGCGCCCGCCGCGCCTCCCCCGCCGCCCCTTTGTTAGAGCCGCCGCGCCCGCCGGGCCCCGCCGCCGCCGCGCCCCAACTTCTCCGAGCCCCCCCGAGCCTGCCCTCCCCCTCCCCGGTGCGGCGGAAAGTGCGGGGGTCGCGGCAGGAGAGCCGCCCCGCCGCCCCCCCCCCCCGCCCGCCGCCCCCGGTGCTGCGTCTCCCCGGGGCGGGGGGGGTTCGCCGCGGGCGGGGGGCGGCGGCGCCGCTCCACATCGAAATTCCGGCCCCGGGGGTCCCGCAGGGTCGGGCCGGGGCCTCTCACGTGGCCGCTGCCCCCGGGGAGGGGACGGGACGGACGGGAGGGAGGGAGGGGGGCCTCCGTTCCCTAACCTGGTGGGAAAGGGGGGCTGCGGTGGGGGGGCACACGCGAAGTTTTAAAAGTAAACAGAAAAAAAATTAAATTGCATAACCTCAAAGCTTGCAAAACGCGTGGAGGGAGCAGGTCCCGCGGCCCCAAATCCGCCTGGAAAATAGGAGCGGAGCGGTGCCGGTAATCCCGGTGGGCTGTCACCGGCGGGAGCCGTGTCACCGGGCGGTCTCCCTGCTCCCGGCGTGCACAATAGCGTCTTTTTCCAGGTGGCTTCCAGCTCCAAAACCATTTCCCTCTATTTACTTTCCAGACGCATATTTTGTATTTTATTTATTTCGAGCTGGCCCTGCCGATCCCGGATTATTTTCCCCAAAACAAGCTGGAAGGGTCCAGCTATCCTGAAATGCTTTCCGTGATCCTTACGTGTGTTTACTTCCATCACGGGATCAGCATCTTCCAGCGCTTGGTTACGGAGAAATTTCCATCATTTTCGGTATAAATGGGGGTTATGTAGGAGGAAAAATAAAGCAGCTAAATATATTGGGAACTAAACTTATTTTCCCCCCAAAAATCAGACCCACCTTCCAAACCGAGGTGTCATCTCTCCTCTCCTTGAATTTGTGTCCAGGTGGAGCAGAAGGCAGGCACTCCATAGATTATATTCCCTGTTATGTAAAATGCACTTGAATGACAAACTGTAGTTTTCCATGAAACCGGTCAGGATATGGGAGGAACTGCAGGTTTTTTATTTGTTTTGACTGACCATTATATTTTGAACTGGTTTGGGCCACGGCCGCGTTGGTGGTTACATCATGTCATGTGTTGTGTACAGGGTGCTTTGTGCCTGTGAAAATAAGGTGAGGAAGAAGCCCGATTCTGGGGTGGGAAGTCGGGCAGGACTCGCTGGGGGGATAAAACATTCTGGGTCTGGCTGAGGTGTGAGTGTGGCTGTGTGTGCCTCTGAACCTCTGCCGGGGCTGGCAGTCCAGGGATCTGTCTGCAATACAGACGTTTTCTCTTTAAAACCATATTTGTCCTTTTTATAGCCTTTGTTTTCATGGAGGAACCTCTGATGCTCTTCCCTGCTTTAGCGTATCCTCTTGGATTTCCATTCTGGCACGGGAACAGCGACGCTCGTCAAGCTGATTATATATTTTTTCTTTAATTGAGAAGTCAGCAGCGTTTTAAATCGGTGGAGGGGCCAGGGCAGCGGGGAGAGCCAGGGGAGCCCCGGGCCGGGGCCACCTGGAGCCCGGTTCCGTTGCCCGGTTCCCCTGCCCGGTTCCCCCCTGGTTCCCCTGCCCGGTTCTCCCCTGGTTCCCCTGCCCGGTTCCGTTGCCCGGTTCCCCTGCCCGGTTCTCCCCTGGTTCCCCTGCCCGGTTCCCCGCCCGCCCCCGGCCTGGCTTTGGCGCGGCGGGGATGGGGACGGTGTTTTTTTCCCTGTAGCCGCACTGCCAAGGTAGCACAGCTGTGTGGGGCTTAATGGATTGATATGCTGCAGGAGCAGTTAATTGTGGAACTTGGTTGTGGTACTGTTATAGCTGATTTGTAATGATTTAGCAATGAGGAATGACTTGTGTTCCCTCGTCAGAGGTGATAAAGCAGCAGATGACCAGGCAGATGTGGCTGTGGCTTTCTCTTACGCCTTTTTTCCCCTCTTTTGCCTTTAATTTATTTTTTTTTAATGCTGTATTTCAGTCCCATTTGCTCTCGCAGATCATCCGGTAACCGGAGAGCTGGTGAGAGTGTGACATCATGCAAGGCAGGGGTGAAAACTGAGCGGTGCTGTGACCAAAGTCACTTCCTTTTGCCCTGTTTATAACTCGTGTTTTGGTGAAGGCCACTGCCATTATCTAATGAACGCCTGGAACAAAGACTGTCTCTGGAGTTCAGCACTCCACCCTTCCCTGCTCGGGCTTCACTTGCTGCCTGTCCTCAGGAACCTCAAAAGGCTTTTCCAGGGAGGATGGGACTCAGTGGACAGCGAGGTAAAGATAAGGCCTGAGGATTCCCAGGTCCAGCCCAAGGGAAAGGGTAAAGCTTGGGGAGTGGGAGGAAGGGCAAGCAGTACATATTTTTATTTCTGGGCCTTTCCCCCAGCCCCTTCCATTCCATTTTCCTCTACTGGAAAATTGCTTTTTTCTGGGACCATTTTTTTAAAGTAGGTCAGTGGTATCTCAGCCTGAACCCAAACAGCACCTGATTTTGCATTTTTCTGTTAGTTTTTTTTTTTTTTTTTTTACTGGACTGTGAGAGAAACAGGTGGGTCAACTTAGGCCTAAATGGGAATTTAATTCCTGGAAGGGTCTCAGGTGAATCACACAGTGATGAGACCAAATAATGAGTAAGTTCTGCATGCCTGCCTCTCTTCCCAGTGTTTATCCTTCCATTAAAAAGAGCTCTGAGCACTGGGCAGTTGCAGTGGCAGGTGATCTGAGAAGCAGCGTTTCCGTTGCTGCATTTTATAAATACCATGTCCCTGCTCATGACTTCCAGGAATACAATGTCTATCTGGAATGAAAAGCAGCAAAGACTCAGTTTGAAAATCCTTCCCTGTAAACAGGAGTTTAGCTGCATGTTTGAGGATGTAGTTTTCTGTGACAAATCATTTAAATTGGAATAAAAGCTTTCTGTTCTTTCTCAGCTGGGCCAGGAGTTGTCATACCCAAATCACAAGAGTCTGGGTGATGCAGAACTTGAGTAGACATAATTCCATTAAACCCTGTACATGTCCTCATCGGCCCGAGTTGAGAGCTGTGTTTTTGGAAGAGGAGAGTTTGGATAAGGTCTTGTTCAGGTTTTTTAAAGAAAGTTAGAGAACCAGTCTGGATCTCCCCTGCCACGAGGTGCAGCCAGCAGGTGACTACCAGAGTTTGGAGAGTGAGACAAGTGGAGAAATGGGAGATGTTAATAGTTGGGAAGACTTAATTCTGGAGATCTGACTGCAGTATCTGAATTTAGTGATGAAACTGTGCTGTTTATCTGATAAAATGAGGGAAAAAGGTAACAAAATGGAATCTCAAGAGGGGAAATGGGGGTAGCTGTCAGCCTGAACAGGCTTCATCCTCATCTGTGCCTGAGTTAATCTCTTGCTGCAAACTTATTTTTTTCAGATTTGATGGAAAGAAAAGTTTAATTGAAATACATATTTCTGTACTGGGAGCTGCTTCAGAGGCCTTAGCAGAAGGTGGACCTTAAAGATTTCTAATTTTCAGCTCCCAAACGTTAGGAAACATCTCTCTGAAATCTTTATAACTTCCTGTCAAGGTCTGCAGCGACAGAGGGTGTGATGGGAAGGTTGCTTTGCGCTAAATGAGGAAGAGCAAGCCCAGCTCAGGCTGTAATTACGGCTGAAAAAGAACCTGTGATGTGTGAGTGAACATCGCCTTTGACGAAACGAGTGTCTCTGCTCTGGAGCTGTTGTCGCCGTGTTCTGGTTGCTCGTGGGGGGCTGTGCTCTCTCCTCAGATCAGGAGCTGAGCATCCAACCTCTGAACTCCAGTCCGAATAAAGTCCTAAAACTTGTCTGCCAGCTTGGGCAGGGGTCTGGTGGTGTGGGGCACTTCGCTCTGCTCCTCTCTGGGCTGCCATTTCCTCTTGAGGACATGGCCAGTTATCCCAGGGCACTCCAAAGGACTTTTTGTAGGGACAGCCACTGCCTTCTTCTAAAATACTGCGTATAAAATATGAAGCATTAAGGTGGTGCCATTTTATGGGGTAGGGGGGTGTTAAGAGTTTTGGAAACACTTATGTGCTTTTGAGCAAAGGTGGGTATGACTGTACCTAGTGAATGAAAATGTGTCTTTAAAATTAAAAGGCAATTCTGTTTTTTGTTTAACTTGCTCCCTGAGTCCTGAGTTCAGTTTTTCATATTTCCTGGGCAACTTGCCCAGATTATGTGAAAGAAAAACAAAATCTTTCTGATACTGGATGGGGGAGACCTGGATTTCACAATTACAGCTTTCTAAAATTTTATTTTATTTTTTATTTTTTGTCTCTGACAGGCTGCTGCTTTCTGCAGATGTCCCATTATTATTTTTGAACCATATTTCTTGTGATTTGACTCTAAACTGCAGCTTTGTTCTGAAGAGTAGGTTAACAGCAATGTCTTTTTTTATCTCCCTCCACTTAATTTTCCAGGTGAAGGCATTCTTGCTTTTAATTATTCACTTTTCCAGATTTTTTTTTGGCGTTGTTGCCGTTTATTTTTGTTTTTTGGTTTTTTTTTTTTTTTTTGCCTTCTTTTTGTTGAAATCTCTTTTACCTCAGATGATGCAATTGGTTTGGTTTATTTCTATCCAATGAGAGTTCACAGGTGTAAGAGAGAATTATTCTTGCAGAAGGAGGTCTCAGAGTTGACCAGACCCTGCCACTCATGTGGACATGGAAACAGCAGCTTTTTGTTTAATCTTGAGGGCTTCTCTTTGGAAAGAAACCAAAGTGGAGCTCAGTAATACTTCTGGTATGTTCTTACTACTAAAATTCTTACTTTCCCCTGGGAGATTAGGTGCAAGTCTGTAGTGTTAATAGCTGTGGAATGTACTCATGTGTCTGTTGTAAAAATCTCTGATTCTTCTGTATGTTCTTAACGGTTTTTTAATTAATATTTTTTTAAAAAGCGTGTTTCCGAAATGTGGGTCATTGCAAGCACACGGTCTGCACGTGATAACTGGCTTATCAATAAGGTGATCGTCCTGTACGTGCCTGTCACGTTTCCTTAATTAAAGCTTTGAGAGTTGCTTCTCATGTAAATCCCTTTCTAAATTGGTAAACACTTGTCTTACAACTACAAAACGTTGAGAGGTGATAACAAAAGGCATGTAGAGAATCTGTTGTATACAATTGTAATTTTGGTAGATGGACATTGTGGATGTGGAAAATATTTGTAGGGCTCAGGGAGTTGCTGTGTGTTGTTGCCTGCTGAGATTAGCACAGATTATGTGTTTTACTTGTAAAATGAAGTGTAGAAGGATTTTATTTTACCAAGTTTGGGGATTTTTTTGTGTGCTTTGTTTTGGTTTTTTGACTGAAACATATTTGTAACCACACGGACTCAGAGCTGGCTGCACTGTAGATTTGTAGCGGGGGAGGAGAGGGGAAGTGGGAATTGGTAAAATACTCACTTCCTTCAGGGTAACTTTGCTTCTATTGCTTCTAACAGCACCTCTGTGTTTGTCAGGAAATGGGCGTTGGGGAGGACAGAGCTTGGGGTGAAGGGGTTTCGGGGTGCAGAAGTGCAGGAATTTGGGATCATGTCAGGGAGGTAAGCCATAATCCAGGGACATAAATGGGTGAGGCAGATGTGTGTGGCCAAGCAGTGCAGGGAGGGATGGAGGGCACAGGGCATGGATCCAGGTGGGTGCCAGGGTGGGACTGATGCCTGGGAGGAGAGCAGCTGGTGGGAGAGCACGGACAGCCCTTCCAGGGGCAAACTGGAGTGAGTTCAGACATGTGCCTCCTGTGTCCAGCGCTTGGAGCTCCCCGTGTTTCTCATGACCCTCACTGGAAGCACGGTGCCTGCTTTCTCCCCAAGAAATTCCTTCCACAAAGAATTCAGAGAGCCAAAACTTCCTGTGTTTGTTTTGGGCTTATTTTCTGGGGTACTGCACAAAATCATGTGCTTGGAAACCCGGTTCTCCTTTCAATGTCTGATTGTAAAATTGGGTTTTAGAAGCAGAGGGTGTTGAATAAGTCAGCAGGCCAGGGGATTGTTTTCAGGGGTGTCATGACCCAGTGCTGCTCCGGGGTGTAGTGTGACTGGGTGTGTTCCTTAGCCCCTCTGACTTCCCAGTGCTGCCCTGGCCGTGTCCCACTGCTCCCACTGTTCCAGGGGCTGGGCTGGTGGTGAAGCCCCCTGAGGAGCCCTGGTGGCTCTGCTGCCTGGTGGCCTCCCGTGCACTCCTGGGGACCGAGGGAAGATGGGCGAGTTACGGTTACCCTGGTTTTACCTGCTCGCTGCAGCCTTTCATCTTGGCTCTGTTAATTACTGCTAAGTGCTCTGGCAGTGCTCTACTTCTGAAGGGAAAATGAAGAGCATTCATTCAGAATCAGCTTAAGACACGCCGTAAACACCACGTTGGCCTTGCAGAGGCTGCTCCTCTTGGGTCTTCCCAAGCCAGGTCCAGCGCAGGGGTTGTGCCCCGGCTGCTGAAGGCTGGGCTGGGGCTGAGCTGTGCTGCTGGAGCTGGGACAGTGTCCAGTCACTCTGGCAGATCTCTGTCAGCAGGGCTTGTGCCAGAGCAGCGTGTGTCACCTTGAGTGCTGGGAATGAAAGACCCTTGGCGGGGAAACTGCGAAAAGGGGGACCTGGGGGTGCTCACATGGATGTGTTCATGCTGGTGGGTGACAGCAGTTTCAGTAGAACTTGCCAGCACAGTTTGGGTCCCAGGAGCAGGCAATAGATTGGGGATAATTCTTGGAATTATTGTGAGACTTAGCAGAATGCTCTGAAAGTTCCTCAGACTGTGTGAATGACCTTTCCTTTCCGTTGTGTGACCTTTTTTTTTTCCTTTATTCTCCTTCCTCAAAGATGCCTTAACTCCTTCTCCCCTCCAATTTCCTGTTAGGAAGAAATTCCTGATAAGTGTAATACAGCTTTAATAACAACCCATGCTTATAAACAGAGGGAGGGAACATGCTTACAAGTGTTCCTTAATGTCTTTTCCAGGGGTTGCTCATAAAAGTTGAGCTCTAATTCAGTATTAGAGAAGCCAGTGCTGTCCAGCACACAGAGTTTATAAGGACTTAAATAAAATACAAAAAATAGACCAAATAATTTTTGGAGGTCATCTTTAAGCTGCTAGAACAAAGCCTTATTCTTAGGGGAGGCTTTCCCAGCTTCCAAAGTATTCTAAATGCTGTCCACTCAATGAAAAGTGGAGCCAAGGTTTGTAGTAGCTTTGCAGGAGGATTTGCTGTTTTCAAGTGGGTTTGCTAACCCAGAGGAAAAAGCAGTGTCAAAGTTTTGCTTCCGTTTCCCACTTCTGTTAATTTAAGTTGATGACCTACAAATTAACTCACTTCAGCCTGCATCTCCTGCGAAGTCCTGACTGGCTGCAGTGCAGTGCAGCTATGTTCATGAGGAGTCATTCAGCATCAAAGGGAGGAGTTTCTGCCCTTGTTGCAGTTGGGTGTTTCCAAAGCCACTGTAGATGTCTCGTGGTAGCTGTGGTGAGAGCCCTGAGCCAGAGTTCCCGCTGGAAGGGAAACCCACATGTTTCTGCAGAACTGGGAACCTGTTAGGGCCAGTCATTCCGAGTGTGTGTGTCTCTAGTGAAGGTCTTGGAAGGAGGCTGGAGTGGAGGAAGTCTTTATTCTGACAGTCTTCCTCCCTCCTCTCCCAAGGGTGTCTTAGTTACAAGTGGAAAGTTCCCTGCAAATTCCTTTTTCTTTCTTCCCTGAATAGGCATGTTCAGTTTTTATTTATGGACCCAAATAGTGACTAAAAGCCATTTTCAGTGAGTGTGGCCTAAACTTTCAGCCATGCAGATCCGTTTTTAGTAAGGATAAAGTCAATGACAGAGTGCCCTAAGTTCTGTGAGTCAGGGACTTGGGAAGCCTGAACCCACCTCCTGCATCTCGATATTTCTGCTGCAGCAGCTTTTTAAAGTCAGTTCCTCTGGGGGTGTGTTCTTCCTTCCCCGTCTCCTCCGTGTGTGTCACCTAACTGGATTTTATGGAGAGCGAGTTAGAAGGACACTCAGCCAGCAGGGTGCTGTTGCTGAGTGGGGACAGCCCTCAGACCAGCGCGGGCTGGAGGATGAACAGATGGAGAGCAGCCTGGGGAGAAGGACATGGGACACGGCTGATCCCAGAAACACCCCTGCCCTGTGCTGGTCCCCAGGGTGGGCAGCAGGGGAGTGGGGGTGGAACAGGACGAGCTTTAGGGTGCCTTCCAACCCAAATAATTCTGGGATTCTAGCACTGCGGAGGGTTTGTCTTTTGGACTAGGTAAGGGGCTGGACACTTGACCAATGTATGTACTCACCAGAAACCACACAGAGCAAATAATCTTGAGCCTTCCCTCCATAGGAATGTGGGTTTGTTTCTCTACCTCCTCCTCTCTGATGTCACAAAAATTTAGGTTCTTAGTACTTTGATTTTCAGCCTTGATGTCTTTCTGGTCCCTGTTACAGAGAAGCATCTAAATCTGGTGTTGGTAGCAACTGGATGAGCCCAGAAACAAAACTGTCTGTGGAATTTTCTATGTTAAGCATATTAAAACTTCAGATAGTCCTTGCTTTTCCTGTAAAGTGGTGCATTAATTTGGTCATTGGAGTGTGTTAATGAACAGCTACAACAAGCTTATGCAAATTTATGTGAAATTAGAGGATTGGCATATCAGGGAAGAGATCAGGGCAACTTTTTTTTTGTTATTAAGTTGATGTGAAATATCTTATGAAGATGCTAAATAACTTCAGCAGTAAAAGGAAAATCAAGTAACTGTTTCACTAGCAGCACAGCCAGTTCTGTGGGTTATTTGAATGTAATTTAAAAAGACATTTAAAAACACTGACACTTTTAGTGGTAAGGAAAGTGGCTGAATGACCAGAGACCTGAATGTGGATGGGAAGAGGCTGCAATGTAGAGAAACGAAGAGTCTTTAGTTATTTCTTATAATTTGTTTGCTGTAGTTGAATTAAACCCAGGCTTACTCTGACAGTCGGTGTAGAACTCCTCCGTGCATGTGTGGGTTAATCTTTATCCATGCTCTTGAAAGAGAAATGGGAATTGCTACCACTGGAAATCACCTGGCTCATTCGGAAATGTACTTCTGGGAAAGCAGGTTTCATATACACCAGAGAAGCAACTTTCTTGAAATCCAGGTTTCAGGGAAGCAGTGGGGTTTCTTCAGCCTCTGGGAGTTTAAGCATATGGAGATTTGTTCCCCTCAAGCCCTGTCTGTGTTACATGTTATAGTCAAATCTGTCATTTTTAAGACCCCCTGAGCTGGCAGTAGAAGCACTGAAAACTGTTTCATAGGTGTAGCTCAGGGATTTTAATGATGAAGTTGGTGAGCTGCTGGCATTGAAGAATAGGAGCATCCAGTGCTGGAGCTTTCCCGGAGGCCTGGTGCGCTCATGGATAAACCGAAAGATGGGGAGCAGCAGTTACAGGCAGGCACTAACTGTGGGAGATGCTGGGGTTTGGAGGGTCGTGTGTCCTGTTTCTGTTCCCTGGTGCTCGCCTGGCTCTGCTGGGGCTCCCGGGGGCAGGAGGCCGCGCTCAGCGTGGCCAAGCGCAAGCGTCGCGTCCGCACCTCGTTGCCCTTGTGCAAAGTGTTTGATTTACTTCCTCCAAGTGCAGCGCCTGACTGTGTCTTTGCCTTCCCTGTGCAGGCTGCCCTCGGGAGCGGCAGTGGGAGGCAGTGGAGCTGGCCTCGGCAGCGGGAGAGGCTGGACTTCCCGTGTCTCTGTGCTGAATGGCTGCGATGGCGCCCGCTCTCACTGACGCAGCAGCCGAAGCTCACCACATCCGATTCAAGCTGGCTCCCCCGTCCTCCACCTTGTCGCCTGGCAGTGCCGAGAGCAACGGCAACGCCAACAACATCCTCCTGGCTGCCAACGGCACCAAAAGGAAAGCCATTGCTCCGGAGGATCCCAGTCTAGATTTCCGAAGCAACGCCACGAAGGAAGAGCTGGGCAAGCTGCAGCCGCTAGTGGCCTCTTATCTCTGCTCAGATGTAACATCTGTCTCTTCAAAAGAGCCTCTGAAGCTGCAAGGAGTCTTCAACAAGCAGACAGTCCTTAAATCTCACTCTCTCTTGTCTCAGTCCTTTTTGAAAACAAGTGATCTGTTGGGGAGGCAACCAGTGTTGGAATTCACTTTGGAGAATCTAAAAACAATGAGTACTAATAGCCAGCCACCTCTCCCACAAGCGCCTGTGAATGGCTTGGCCAAGAAATTGGCCAAAAGTACCAATTCAGACCATGAAAACTCTAGTTCTCTGAATGGTGGGAAGTGTGCTTCTCCTTCTGCTGCCCTCCAGACTGTTGACTATAATACAGGAGGTTCTGAATTGGGGGACTTGAAGACCGGGTTGACCAATTGCACTCTTCCACATAGAAGCCTTGATGCAGAGCACGCAGCTCCCTTTAGCAATAATAGCACTGCAAATAAATCCTCCCTTCCCTCCGCAGAGCAGCAGTGGGTGCTCGAGGGCGGCGCTGGGGACACGCGGGTGCCCGGGGTCGCGAGCCGCTCCGACCTGGGCAGCGGTAAGCTGGAGGAGCAGAAACCTTCTGTGCTGGCTGGTCACCACAGCGCTCTGGACTCCGAGATGAGGACGAGGGCCCTGCTGCGGCGTCAGGCAGACATCGAGAGCCGAGCCCGGCGGCTGCAGAAGCGCTTGCAGGTGGTGCAGGCGAAGCAGGTGGAGAGACACATCCAGCAGCAGCTGGGCGGCTTCTTGGAGAAAACGCTGAGCAAGCTTCCAGCCTTGGACCCCCTGAGGCATCGGAGCCAGCTGATGTTGACCAGAAAAGCAGAAGCAGCCTTGAGGAAAGCTGCGAGCGAGACAGCTACTTCAGAAGGCCTGAGCAACTTCCTGAAGAGTGATTCAATATCAGAGGAACTGGAGAGATTCACGGCCAGTGGCATGGCCAATTTGAGATGCAGCGAGCAGGCCTTTGACTCGGATGTCACTGACAGCAGCTCGGGGGGAGAGTCGGACGTTGAAGAAGAGGAACTGACCAAAGCAGACCCAGAACAACCCCATGTACCACTGTAAGTAGCACTCGTTTCCTTTTGGTGGTGGGGAGCAAGGTGGAAGGTGGCAGATAGAAATATGGTTTTTGTAGGAACACTAAATTTTGGACGGTCTTAGGTCAAAGAATTGTTAAAACTAGTGTGGTGTGGTTTGTAGCATGTACAGCACTGAAGATAAAATTCCTCATGCTTACTGGAAATAATCTTTGGTGGTTTTGGAGCAGCAAGCTGTGGAAATAATGGCTGGCTGGAGTAGTGTGAACTGCAGATAGAAACCAGGAATGTCATTAGCAGTTCCCTCCAAGATGCTTTGGTCCTTTCTCCTGAAAGGAAATGCTTGTTGTTTTACAATGGGAATATTTGTAATAAACCTGTTGTGTAAAGTAAGGCCAGTCTGAATCTGTGTAGCTGACAGCATATTTATGATTGGGGAATTACTTTATTTGTTAAATGGACTGCCTGGAAAAAAGTACTCAGAAAGGATTTGGTTCAAGTGCCAGCGGAAGTGTGAAACAAGTGTGTTTTCTTCTTGAATCTGGGAAATTACTGCTGGGAATTTTCTTGTCTGTGAGTTGCATTAAATGATGACAACAGCTTCATAATTATGTTGTTAACTGGATGCTGTTTGCATAAGTATTAGGTGTCAGTTTGTGTGTGGAGGAGGAAGATCCTTCTCAAGGCAAAAGGTCTTGAGACAGGTCAGGGAAGAAGGAAAATTTTTGTTCCAAACACAGAATTTTCCCTGGGAGTGCATACCACAGTATTTTGCAAAAATCTCTTGAAAGGCCATATTCTCTGTCTAGTCTGTGTGAAATCTTGCTTGCATCAGTAGATGGTCTGTTCTCCCCTGATGGATGTCTTGAACCTCAGTCTGTGAAGTATCACTATGGTCGACAAAAAGGTCCCTGCAGGGCCACAGGGGTCCTGGCTGGAATGCCAGTGTCTTTCCCATCCAGGCTGGAAATAATCACCAGGACTTCTGCATTCCTGCACTGGCCTGGGATTCTTCAGATCTCTCTGGAGAAATCACTGTATGGATTTGGCTACCTGTCTGGACTGTGTTAGTGACTGGTCGAGGGCTGTGTGACACAGATTTTACTGAGCTGGGTGGATGTGAACATTGGGCACTTGGTAACCTCAGCATCCTCCGAGAAGATGCTCACGAGTGAGTGCTGATAACCAGATGTCACAGCTTTTGGAGACCAGATTCCAGTTAAATGTCACATTATGTTTTGGGATGGTGGCTCAGGTTGAATTTCTGCACATGAAGTTGTAAAGGTGGCTTGAGATTGGGTTTCTCCCAGTGTAAAGCTGGTAGCTAGCTGGTCATGTGATCTCTCCTGGGTGGACATAAAGGGGTTCTTGTGCTGTTAGAAAGAGGAGTTTAGTAACTTTATCCCTGTTTTATAGCATCCACAAACCTACTGTTGGGATTAGTAGTAGAATTGTATTTCTAAGTCTTGTAGTTATTGGAGGAGACATTTGATTAAAAATCTGTCCAAAATAATATTAAATTTCCCATATTGTGGGTTTCATGGCTTCACGTGTTCTCTAGCAAAGCAAAATTTTTTGCCACGCCTCTGAATCCCAAGAGGAAGTGTGGCGTTCAGAGACACGGTGTGTGAAATTCTTTGCCGACTTTTCCGCCCTTTGCGTTAGTCATGCCTTCACGTTCTCAGGATACTCTTAAAAAGCCAAAGGTTCAAAAGCTAATAAAAAGGCTGATCCCTCTATTGTCTCTGGGTTCAGAAGCTGGTGTGTATGCACACTGGCATCTTGGCCAGGCCCACCAAGCCCCGTGTAAAGTTGGTGCCTGCGGGTATTCAGTAATGAGCCGCGGCGGCGCTGACTGGCCTGTTGGATGGGTGCTGTGGCACAGCTGGGGCTCAGTGCGTGTTGCTGCTTGTTAGTGGAGCTCCTCAGGTAACCCTGGGAGCTGGTACAAGCTTCTGAGCACATCTAAATACTGTTCTTGTCCAGCAGTGCTAGCAGGCAGGAAGGGAAGAGCCGAGTTTTCCGCTGGGAAGTTGCCTTGGGCCAGCTGATGGTACGAAATTGTTGTTCTACATTAGTGTGAGTGCAGAGCCTGCTCAAGGAGGGTTGGATTTTTTGTCTTTCTGAATTTACTTCTTTAGAAGGAAGACATGAACTCTGATTATTTTAACTTTGATAGTGAGACAGAATATCTGAGTGTGTAATGGAGACATTCCGAACTCACTTGTGTTCCTGTGTAACCTGCTTTAGGGGACCCTGCCTTGGGTGATCTCCAGAGGTCCCTTCCAACCTCAGCAATTCTGTGATTCTGTACACTTCTCATTGCTTGGTCACCATCCCTTGGTTCTGCATTGCTTCTGGATGTCCCTGCTTTCCCCCCCGGAAAATCTGCTGTTTGCTTCTAGACCTTTAGTGAGAGTTGTGCCAGTAACAGCATCTCAGAGCCTGCTGGCCCTGAGTGGCCATGTCACCGGCCACCTTGGAGATTCAAGCAGGAGCACCCAAAAGAGACTAAGACATGTTTACATCATGCTTAGATAAGAGCTGACCTTTGGGTTTTTCTGGTGTGGTGGCATTCCAGAACTAGTATCTGGTCAAGGACAGACTTTGAAGCATTTGTACTATTCTGAGCTGCCTGTTCTCTGCTAAGGAGCACTATCTCCCTGAGAAATTCTTCATTCCAGTAGTGTTGGGGATGTATCAGAGCTTGGTAGGTCCTTTTAAAGCACTCCCAGAGCTGCTGCCCGGCAAGGTGCTGTGATTCAGGTGCATAACCAGGCCATCGTGTAATGCATAAACAAAGCAGAGAGGGAGTTGTTACACCTTTGGGAAGGCCTGCCAGCCATGGGCTTGGTTTAACAAGGTGCTCCTTGTTCTCAGGCTGCTGATGGGGAAGGCAGGTGTGTGCAGGCGGGGTTGGGTTGTGCTGAGTCCTTTGCTTTGTGTGCATCAAGGACCACCGTGTTGGATTGGGTCTGCTGCCAGGTTAGCAATGCACAGGCCTGCTTCTCAGCTGAGATTCTCTACAGGTATGAGCAGCGCAGGGTGAGGATCAGGAGAGAGCAGCTTTGCCTTTGCTAGGAGGTGAGGAAGGCAGGTGGGAGTCTCCCCTGTGGAGAATCCAAACTTCCTTGGCTGGGTGTGACTGGAGGCAGCAGCACCTGAGAAACCTGTGTGGCTGTGAAAGGGCCCAGGTGCCCTTTGGGGGTGGGCAGGCCCTGGCACAGGTGCCCAGAGCAGCTCTGGCTGCTCCTGGGTCCCTGGAAATGCCCAAGGCCAGGCTGGATGGGGCTTGGAGCAGCCTGGGAGAGTGGAAGGTGTCCCTGCCGTGGCAGGGTGGAACTGGATGAGCTGTAAGGTCCCTTCCAACCCAAACCATTCCATGGTTTTATGTTGCTGTCAGCATGCTGGGATCAGGAACTGCTTGTGAAATGTGGTTCAGAGAAGGGCATGGAATTCATCCCAGTGCTGGAGGGCTGCTGGCTGAAATCGTTTGTGTGGCTGAGGGACGGTTTAGAAAGTCACCAAAGTCCTGTTGTTTCTGTGTCCCTGTGCTAATATATACAAATAGGAAATACTTCATGTGGCTTGTGCATCTTTATTGTAGTGTTACTGTAGCTCTTCTCAGAATGGTGGTTTCTTTGGTTGTGTTGGATTTGCCTGCAGACAGAATTTGTCAATTATTTTTGGCTGGTTGGTGAGCTATGCTATGCAGTAATGTAGACATGAGCTGGTGAGTGGTAGGTGATTTAGGGTTCTGTACCATGGAAAAATTTTCTGAAAAGGTAATGAAACCAAATATTTAACTGGGACTTATCTTTTAGCTCAGGTTTTCTTATCTGGAAAGTCACTGTTTGGTTGGCAGTTGCATTGAGCTGCTGAGAGGGAACTGAAGTTCCTAGTCACCAACTTCTCACAACGCTGGCTTCCCACAGAACCTTTCCAAGGGTCAGAGAGTCCCTACAGTATGCAGTTGTGGTTGTTAAAATGCCTATGGCCACGATGCCTGAGCACACTTTAATTATTCCCATTTACTGAAGGGAAAGCCCAGCACTTCTGCACTTTGGTGTTGCAGTGAATCATTTCACAGCCTGTGTGTGTTGTCTCCTCCCTGCACTGTGTCACATTGTGCTGCTGGGAGTTCTGAGTTGCTGGGCTTGGAGTAGTAATTAAGATTTCGCACAGCTGCTTTTCCCAGCACTGATTTCCAAGTTCTGTTGGAGATGAATGCATGGGGCACTTGGGTGGGAGGTTGCTTGAGGAGTGGCCACAGTTGGTGCATTAGCTGACTGAGAAATGGGATTTAGAGATTCTCATTTTTTTCCCTTATGCTTTTCAAGTGAGAACATGATCATGAAGCCTGTATCTCAAGGCCCATTAAATAATATTTGTCAAATCCATGACTTCATGGGACTGTGGCTCAGATGGCAGATCGCACATGTAATTCAGAAATCAAATCCCACACCATGGGGACTAAGGAAACTTTTCCTACTGGTCACAAACATATTTCATTAAATGATTTGTGCAGAACAATCCTAAAACTTTGTCTCTTACTCTTTATCACTTTTGCAGTCACCTACTTGACATTTTGGAGGGTGTTTTTTGTTGAATTTTAGCTGTGCTTGTAGGTACTGATGTCAGCAAGGTGCTTAACCATATTTTTTAGCTGTTTATGAGAACTTGCTTATGTGTTATCTGAGTTGTTAGTCTCTGCATTGATGTGTTGGTCAGGAGAGAAGTCCTGTAAGCTCTTTCAGAAAGAGAGAGCAAATCCTGAAGTGTTCTTGCTTAGCATTTGAAAGCAGAACAATAGAGCAGCTGATTGTTCAAAAATGCTTAATCAGGTATCTGAAGTAAGTAGGACACTCCAAGTCCCTCTTGCTTTTAAGGAAAGAGGGCAAACGAGAATAGTCAGTTATTTCTCAAAGAGATGCTGGTCCTAGTACACTTTTTATAGATATTACGGGTGTCTGATAAGTTATTTCTTACTTTTATTAGAAGCTTGATCCTCGCACAGGTCTCGC